GCTTACTTAGGAGATAATGAGATGACTTATATATGAGATTCTGTAGTGTACTGTACATTATGAATAGTTGGAATACAGTCACTAGCACTCAAATAATTACCCAGGAGTGAGGCTGCGGATTTCCCAGACTTAATTTTCTCATCAAATTTTGGCACCAATATAGACGCAAGTGTGTACGTTCTTGAGCTTATTCGGTTCACTAATCACTGGCCTACCTTGTACTGAAATTAGTTTACAGATATTTGCTATCGTATTGCTGTAAATTGAATCTTGCACGAGCTGCTCTGATTCTATCAACCATTGAGCTATTTTGTAACGAGCCAGATGTGCCTCGCAAGGGGTTTAATGTACCTTATTACCTGACACTATAGAACGCACGTTATCTATAGTAATAATATGGTAATTATTCGCTCCTGCTTTTTGCAATCTGTCGTTACACTGACAGCTGCCATGCTTTGGCTGACCGATGCAACGATGCCTTTGATAGCGGCCCGCCATCTATCGGAATTTTATTACACTAGTTTGAAGTGTTGTTTTTTGTGGTTAGAAATGAACGTATGTATAGGACGTCTTGGTATGCACAAATGAATTTATCAGCAGAACACCAGACACCAGATGAGCCCTGTCGCTCTGCGGCACTTGTATTATATTAAGAGATTTTCTGCATATCCAAGTATTTTACTAATCTTAAATGTATGAATTCCTTTGCATTTAATTATTAATTATATTAAATTTATTACACAGATTACCATTTTGGACGATACATTACCGGAGGACAGAGAGAGCTTATTTGTAGTGCTATCGAGTGTAACATTTCTCCCAGCAAATCATTCTGCTCCAGGTGAGAAGAAAGCTGTGAATATGAAGAATGTACGTAAGTGAGATAAGGAGGGAGATGTGCAGGAGCTCATCCTTATTGTGGGATCAAGCTGGGAGTAATAGCAGAGAGTGAAATTCAGACACCTTTCAGGCAGATAAAAGAGAAAGCATGATATAGATTGACATAGAGAGAGAGAGAGCGAGAGAGAGCGAGAGAGAGCGAGAGAGAGCGAGAGAGAGCGAGAGAGAGAGAGAGAGAGAGAGAGAGAGCGAGAGAGAGCGAGAGAGAGAGAGAGAGAGGGCAAGAGAGCAAGAGCAAAAAGCACAAGCTATTATTAATCTCATTTCACATGTACTTACAGTTCCAAACTCTCCAAGGCTTGGAGCAACTGACCTGTCTTATGGAGAAATTATCATCTTGCCAAACGACCATGCCAATGGCGTTCTGGAACTTGATAAGAGAAGTGTTACAGTATCAGAAGAAATGGGTGGTCATGGTATTGTTAAAGTAATTCGGAAAGGAGGAAGTTTTGGTCAGGTTTGTCTCCAGTATTCTCCTGATAATATGTAATACAGTAAAAACCCGCGAGTAAGAACCTAGTTTTTAAGAACCTGTTAGGCTAAAATTTGCCAGTTATACCCCTCTATACAAGAACCTGTTTAGCCTAAAATTTGAAACATGTTCTTATTTTCTAAAATCTATATAAAAAGATGTGTACACTTGGGCGAATAAGATAGATCAACATTTTGGATCCTTTTTTGGAGACACTTCACTCACACACACACGCACACGCACACGCACACGCACACGCACACGCACATGAACACGCACACACACACGCCTTATCACTCCAATTTAATACACTGTAAATGCCAATGTTGAAAATCAAATAGAATTGTTATTGTTGCAATTACACATAAATACTGTATATATATTGTTTATATCTCCATGGCTACACATCAGCATATGGAAGAGTCTGTAGAATGATGAACATTCGAACCAGGGGAACCATATACCACATGAAAAACATTTGGGAATTTTCTTTAGAAAATAAGAACCTATTTAAGAACCTAAATAGCCTCAATTTGTGCTAAGTACCATTTATGTAAGAACCTGTTTAGGCTAACTTGGGAAAATGCAGGTTCTTACTTGCGGGTTTTTACTGTATATAATTTATAATAAAAATGTTTTCTCTGACATGAATGAATTAGAACACGTTTCTAAAGAACGTTTCTAAAGAACTGAATTGATAAAACGTAGGACACATTGAGTAGGAATTCATATAATATGAAGTTCAATTCAAGAAAAGAAAACATTGAAATTATGTAATAAGAATGAACTAATAAGTATAATTTATATATATATAATCTTTATTAAATGTGTTTCAGGTGAGTGTGAAGTTTCTGGTTACCCAGGGAAATGCAACGCAAGGTTTAGACTACAGCGTTGCTTCCTCGGAGGTGGTCTTCTACAGTGGTGACACCGAAAAGGAAGTCCCTATCGTGATTATCAATGACGTTGCTCCTGAGTTGGCAGAAACTTTCACAATCACGTTGACTAACCAGACAACGGGAGGTGCTGTAGTTGGGTCAGTGAGGGAGACAGAGGTCGTGATAGATGAGTCTGATGATCCACGTGGAGCCTTCAGTATGTACTGTGCAATTATTTTCTGATCAATTATAAATTAATCAATTAATCAATTTTCAATTCAATTATCTTATAGCTTCTGTTTTAGCCTTATATAAACCCCATAAATATCTATCAAATGCGTACAATCAAATAACTGCTATGAAATCTTTCGTTGTTGGTAGGTAAACTATTTTAAACTAGTTAATCTATATAAAAACTAACATTTAATTAAACCAAGTGCAACCTAAAAGCCTTTTCCAACGGTTTTAAATAACATGTCTGATCAATGCTACAAGTGGTTTTTTATATATTTATCTTCGTTTAAATTTTATTCTTGATTTTTTAATAATTATAATTATTTTATAATATGATTTTTATAATTTTTTATTTCAGGTTTTGAGAGTGTTAGTGGTATGTCAGAAGAGCCCGAAGCAGGCACTACAGTGTCAATACCTATAACTGTGATCAGAACTGGTGGCACGCTGGGTGTTGTTGGTGTCACCTGGACAGCTTTCTTTACTGGTGAGTTCTTCTGTGTGTGTTTTGTTGTTTCTATTCGGTAATTGTGCATGTGGTTGTTTGTGTTTATTACGGCTAGTGTGACTAGAAATAAACTTTTGAAAAATATGAAAACAACTAATTATCCTAAGGTAAGTGGTTAAATCCTATGTACAGCTATAGTCTCCAAAAATTACTAAAACTAATATTGTAACATAAATATAATTTATATTAATGATAGCAATTCTGAAATCTTTTTTACAAAGCCAAAATCATATAAATGTTCTTGTTAACCAGTAATATATTTATAATAGTATTTGATTTCTTGTCAGCTGGTTAAAATGTCCTTAACTTAATCTGTGTTGGTTCTTTATTGATCATGTGTTGCAGGAGGTGCATCAAAAGCTGATATAAACCCAACCAGTGGCACAGTGTACTTTGTCACTAATGAAGCTAGACAGACCTTCAATGTTTCAATTCTACCTGATGACATACCAGAAGGGCCTGAGGTGAGTTATGACATTCTGAATAGCTCCATTAAGTAACACCGGGAATTTAAGATCCTGACTGATAATAACTAATACTATGACATAATGATAATTAGGGTATATACATATATGTATGTATATATTATATATATATGTATATACACAAACATATATATATATATATATGAGTATATATTTCTATAGGTTGTTGAAATTCGCTTAATGGAAGCAAATAATGATGCACGCATTGAGAGATATGCCAATGTGTATACGTTGACGATCATGGCCAACGACAACCCACATGGGGCCGTGGAGTTTGCTAAACCTAGTTACCTGGTAGAGGAACTGGAAACAACTGACCCTCAAGATATTGAGCTGCATAGAATGTGAGTATTGCTGGGTGCATGAAGGAAATGAAGTGCTATATTCAGATCCATATTGCATTGAAAACGAATAATACATTCTCACCCAGTGTATACTCTCCAGGTCTTTAATGCATGTTTGGTGAGATGTTCCTTCAGAGCTAAAGCTTAGTTTGAGACAGTCCATAAATTCTCAGACATACCTTAATTGCCCAATTGACATGCCTTAATTTCCAGTGGCGTTTACTTTTAACAACCCTATCACAGTCCTGTTGTGTTTTCACAACTTGATGCACGTATACTTCTCCAAATTGATCGATTTTCCTTGTGTATTGGATCCGTGTTACGGTGTATGCCTGTAGAATTGATTCCAATTAGCGATTTGGGATGAATTTCCCGATTGCCCGACATTCCTTCAGCAATTCCTGAGATGAATCTTGCCTACCCATGCACATTGACAATGAGGATAGCTGTGGCTGTGCTGTCATTAAAGGACATTTCTTTCATGTCTTTGTCTAACTGGTTAATTACATCAGGAGTAAGATAATATAGATCTATATTATCTTACTCCTGATTACATGTATACGTATCCCAACATATCTCTCCTATGTTTGCATAGAGGCTGTTTAAGTGTACACACACAAGCAATGCTTCAATATTGTTTCTCAGTAAATCATAGGTGACAATTTGGCCAGCTTTTGCCCTCTCATAATATGTATTGATGACTCGTCGATATCCAAAATAAAATTTGATTTTTATCCGTCAGTGGTGGTACTTATGGCCAGCTGAAAGTTTACTACTCGACAAAGCAGATGGATCTTGCAGACCTTGTAAAGCGTCATGGAAAAAGAGAGGTGGACTATTTCAGTGTGGAGCGTGGCTATCCCCCAAACGGGTCGGCAAATGTGGTGGATGTTGGGCGAACGCCAAAACCTCTCCAGGTAAATATTAAGCCATTGACATCGTCATTCTTCTCCTTATGTCTTTTCGTGCTAGAGTCGGTTCATCTATCTCTTGTTGTGGTTTACTTAGACGTTTCGGTTCGTGTCTATTAGATATAAGGTGAGGTGATTATAAGGTAACATTATTTTCATTTCTTTGCCTGATATGTGGCAGGTTTCTGTTTCTGCACGATTTCTAACTGTCCTATTTTAGAAGTATATGTGTAACACATTTTTCAAATTTTAGAAAATAATTTCCTTTGTCTCATAATTGTCTTTTTCTTTCCTGAGTGTAAGTATATTTACATTGTTTGCTATATTCCAAGAACATACTTACCTGTTATTTTTTTGGAAAGACAGTGTCATTGTCGAAAACATTAAGTCTGAGCAAGTGTGATCTTTGCTTTGGCATATGTATAATAGATAAAGAGAAATACTGAATTGGTGATGCCATCACAAAGTTTCCCTTTGATTATAAAATATGTGTCTCATTACATCAGAAAAATCACAACAATTAAACCAACATTATATAATTTGATAATTTTTTTACATATATAGTAATCGTTAATACATCAAAACCAATAATATTATGATGACGAATTAAGGTATAGGGGTCTCATGATGTATGCATAGTGCGTTTATATAACAGTGTTAATATATGATTACATTATCTATACTATTTGCTATTCTTATTGAAGGCTAGTGAAACTGAAAACGACATCTCTGTGAGTTTAGTGTGGTTATCTGTTCATGTATAAAAACACACGTCTTTGTTATACTTGCATTGAAATAGTCATGATATTTATATTATTCTCTGTTCGTAAATGATTTGCTGCACATTCACGATTTTCCGTACGTCTGTGTGCTGCAACATTTGACGAAACGCACTAGAATTATCCCACAAGGTTTTAGTTTGACTCGGTGATATTTTAGTGCGGTGGATATATGCAATCACATGGCGATATGTTTTTTGTACTATATACAGAAGTAAGAAGATACACGGCACTGAACTGTTTTGGCAAAAGAATCCAATTAAATTACGTGGCAACTGGCTACAAGTTTGCACTATAATGTTTATGCCTACAGTCAGATAGTACAACATAACTGACCACAGTTTCATTCTTCTAATATGTTTAGACGAGTTTTGTGTGCATGGTTCAAAATATGCACTGTGATATTCACATCTAGCTGTGTGTACTGAACATAACTAAACCGTGCAGTATACCGAAGTTCACAAAATTCAGAAGTGTAGGTGTGTCTTGAACATCATGTGTGCGTATTATTTGGAGTGAATAAAAACAATTTGTTTGTTATTAATAATTGAATATAAAAACAATTCGTTTTTATTCACTGCTTATGTTATGGAGATAGCTTTGTTTAGAATTATTACTATAATAAGTTACATAATAACAAAACTGTATATAGTAAAAGAGGTTGTAATGTATTATAATGTATACAGTGTTGTTATTATCAAGCTAATTTATTATGGCCAGGACTTCCTGTTGATGTATACAGAAATAAGTATAGTTGTATTTTCTATGCTTATTTGATTATATCATATAATGTGTAGTATGTATTATTACATCATATATGATATGTATTTACATTATATCCATTGCAATGAAATAGAGCTGATGTGTTTCAGGCATGTGCTCTTATCTGCCTGATAGAGAAGACATGTATTATGTTTGAGCACAAAGCAGACAGTCACTTGTGTCAGTGGTATATCACGCCACCTGAATCTGGGTATGGTCAAAAAGCACAGCTTTACGTCAAGGACAAGTTTAAGGTACCATATATATAATTACACTATAATTGAGTTGTATATATGTTAATATATATGTGTGTGTGCGTGCGTGCGTGCGTGCGTGCGTGCGTGTATTTATACGTTCACGTATGTGCGCGTGTGTGTGTATAGATTAAAAGGTCTGTATAATTTTAAATTATTACCATGAAGTGAACACGAAAAATAACATATCTCATAGATTTAGTTACCAATACAGTGTATACACATTTAATTGTATATAAAGTTGTGTCTATCTATTCACAAACATACTGGCATATGGCAACGTAATGGAAGACACTATAGTGGCTGTTTCAGAAACCAGTGAATGTTCAGAATTACATGCATTTTGCAGCTTATTTCATAGAGTAATTGTTCTGTTCTTTTATACTCAACAATAAATCGCGTTTTATATACTAAAATGTCCTATCAGTTTAGTAATATATCTTATTACTTTAATCCATTTTTAGGTTTTGTGATACGTGTAGAGATTATTTGTGTATAAGCGTATCTGGTACGTTTAACACCCATGTTGTCTGCAATAAGTGCATTGAAGCAAATTGGTTAACCGTGTAAGTAAATACCAGCTATTCTCCATTTCTCATGCAAGGCGGAGCCACCATGCCATTTACCAGTTTGTGATGAGGTGACAATTCTATTACTGTCTGCATTTATATTGCATTGTCCTCAGTGAATCAGATTACAAAACAATGTCTTATAATGCCACCGACCCTATGTATGCAAATAAAAGAAATATGTGTTAAATCCTAGTGGAAAATCCTGTTAATTACCTTCAGCTTTTAATTGCACAAATGAATGTAATTTTTAAGAAATATGCAGTGCAGATGAAATAATAGTTACTTGTTAAAAGGCTAATATGAAGAAAATGAATGTTTCACTTGTAACCCCACCTGTGAAACATCATTTTCAGTGTTACTTTATGAGATACTTTGGTGAAACAAAAGAAGATCGACAACTATTGCGTGGTGTTTTCGGACAACAATGGGATTTGTGGGCTTGGAAAATCATTGTACGCCACGCTTTGGTCATAGATTTTATCATGCCACAAAACCTGTGACGCTGTCCGCACTGAGCAATAATTGCATAATATTTCTTCAAATGTGTTCTTAAATGTCCGCACGTGTACAATACTTAGTAGACAGATGCCATGTATGTGAGATGTCCTAATGTCCGTGTATTACAAATGTGAAACTGTTGACTATAGCTGCGTTCACACGAGATACACGGCCTCGCTGGTTCCGTACTTATCTGGTGCTGAATTTGGCTGAAATACAGTGCTAACACAACCCGGAGCGTTCACACGAGAATCGAGGCTTAGCTGGCTAGGTGTAATATAGACTGGTACCCGGTCGACAGTTCCACACGCTACACTAACGTCGTGTAGCGAACGGGTACCAGTCTAGGTAAGCGCACTACAGTTTCACAATTCGAAATTGCGTTCACACGACAGACAATACGCGGCCAGCGGGGTGGCGAGTAAGCCGCGTATTTCAGTACGGTACTGAATAAGCCGCGTATATTTTTACCGTGTGAACGCTCAAGTACGGTACTGAAATCCTCGTGTGAACGCTGCTTATATAGACACTAGGTGCAATGTATCCCTACGTATATAGTATGTATATATATCAGGAGTAGATAATAGGGAGGAGTGTGACATCAATAAACAAGGGAAATTCGTCATTTACTAGCCTTATAATACCTACGATTTACTACGCGTAACTCAAATCGGACACAGTACATTCGCCTATCATCGT